CCTCCCTCCCAATCAATGAACATGTCCTCAGGTGAGGATTGAAAAAAGAAAAAAAGAAATTAAACTTATTAAATAAAACATTGAGAACAGTGCTACATATGCCAAATAAAATAACTCATATACAAAGGAATGCATAGAGGAGACTCACATGCTCTAACTCTGAAACAGTTACAGTATAAAAACAAAGCATGTTCTCCTAGCTACATATGTGTATTCTTGAAGTAAGAATATTCAAAAACCTAAGACACTCTGAAGTTTAGATAACCAGATGGCGAACAAATCACTGATCTAGAGGGAAAGAGTACTTGATGGCAAGACAGATGGGGAGAGAGGCCTCGGGTAGGAGTGCATGGAACACATGCTACTTGAGAAGTCCCAGACAAGCTCTGACTTGACTCTGGATGCCAGCCCCGGAAGGCTGGGCCGACTGTGGTGCCTGGAGGTGAGGGCAGCAGTTGGCAGGGTTAGAGAAACAGCAGTATGTAAAGACTGACTGGTGTCCTCCACTGCCAATTAAATGTGAGAGCACGGAAGTGGAATCAAGCTGCCTCCTTGCCTCCTCTATTATATTTCTACTTATTTTACCTCTTGTCATCTGGTTTCTGATCCTAGGACTCTACTGAAACTAACCTCTCTGGAATGTCCACAGCCAGAGCCTCGCCATCTTACGTGACGCTGTGTCTGCAGTGCCTGAGACCACTGACAAGCCCGGGTTTGGGGAAACTTCTTTTTCCCTTTGGCTTCTACTCAGTGCTCCTCTTACCTTCCTAAATACAACTTCACAGCCTCTTTCACGATTCTTACCAATTCTTTTTAATTCTATTGCAGAAATTTCTTTTAAGTTAGACTCTCCATGCTCATTGCTACTGCCTTGGTTCAGGACTTTGTTCTGTCCTCTGGGTTTCTGACAGTCTTCCTGCTGGTCTCCTGCCCCATCTCTGTACTTCCATCCACTCTCCGTGCTGCTTCCAGAGTTACCTTCCCCAGAACAAATATGCGATCACATCATTCTCCTCCTTATAAACCTCCACTGACAGGTAATATTCAATAATATTCCACCCTCAATAATATTCCAACTTTACACATCAGTTTCTTCATTATCTTACCTCAATGTTCCTCTTTAGTTTCATCTTTCTCTTCTCCACTCTACCCAGTCTAATCCACCCTGAACTTCTCCCTGTTCCCTGAATACACTATATCCTGGGGTACTGTGATTTAATCTTTTCTATCTGGAGAAGTCTTTTTCTTTCCCCAAGAAGAAAGTCATCTCCTAAGGAAAGTCCTCCTCAGCTTCCATAAGCACAGAGAGTTCTTCACTTTCTGAGTGCCTACAGCACTGTGATCAAGCATTAATTCTAATACACCCACCCCATTTGTAATTCACCTGTTAATTGTCTGATTTCCATGAACCTCTGAATACCTCAAAGACAGAGCCAAATGTCTTACTAATTTTTAAAAAACTCCCAGGCCCTGAACAGTGCCTTACACATGGCATGGTTGCCTCTCAAAATACACTGGTTGAATGAAACATAACCCTTTCATAAAACAGGGAGACGAGACTCTAAGGCAGTACTGTAGGGGCACAGACCAGCCTTCTGCTCACCGCTGAATGTCCTTGTTCTTCCACAAGGAGGCAGACTGAGCCTTGGGCACTCTTTCAATGAAATTCACCAGCTCTTCCATGAGAAGCCTGAGTTTAAACAAAGAAAAAAAAGTGATGAACACTCATACAAGAATTAGAGAAACACTGCACTCTAACACTGTAGCCAAGAGAAATGGGCTTATCTGCTTTCCCCCTCCCCAATCATATTTCTCTCTGTTGCATATAAATGTGGGCACCATTTTACATAAAGTTGAATACAAATCTAGCCTTCTATTGAATTTCCATGTTAAAAATTCAGAATATAAATTATTTAATTCACCTTTAAAACAAGCCTGGTTATGTTCTCATCTCTAAGCACTGAAATAGATAGGTCTATAGTTTAATTCTCACTCTGCCTTTATGTATCTAAAAATACAAAGAGAAAAAGTTAAATGACAGTGAAGTACCCGATGTTGGTGGCAGAAGGAATGAGCAGAATTTTTTTTAAATGATATTAAATGGACAATTTACACTGGTAGAGTAAGTTTTTCTTAATGTGTCTCTTAGGGATTAACAAAATTCCATACGGAAAAAATACTCTAAAGACTGATCCTAAAAACCTAACTCAAGGACCTGCAAAAGGGCAGGCTATGCAGACAGAGAGATGGATTACCACAGAATCACAGCTGCAGGAATGTAAGAAAAGCCCCGCGCAATGGGATCAATGATCTGCATGTTCTGAGGGATTCATGGTCAGAATCCTGGATAACTACAGGATGACCAAAAAGCTAGAAGCAGATTTTCAACAGTGTGAAACCCGTTGCATAATCCAGTAGAGATGATCTGTACTGACTTCAATCCTCTCCCAATCAACCATAAATGCATTAGCACTTCATTTCCATTTGTCTATTTATTCCTAATACCATCCCCTTCTTTCATCTCGAAGGAGCAGAAGTTCCAGTATTCTAAGATCTGGGATCCAGGCTCATTACCATTCTGGTTGTAGCTTTCAGAACAGTCACGGGTTTGTCCATTCTCTTGCTTTAACTTTTTCAGACTAGAGGCCAATGTATTCAGCTTTTCCTCTCACTGACTGATCCATCTATCTCTTCCTCAGATCCCTTATGTTTTTCTGTACTCACTGCAGGTAATGTGATTTGACACTAGAAACCGTATTTTTGGTCTTGATAGTTGCACCTATACTACATTTGTGAGTTTGCTTCCACACAATTCTTTTTCCTGGGGTAATTTTCTTCTCACTAACTGATGCTATGGTTACTTGCAGCAACCAGGAAGGCTCAGGAGGGGTAGAGAAAAGACACAGCAGAGTATTCCAGGTCAAAGGAAGGCCTGAGGTTTTATTCCTTAGAGTTCTGAGTTTCACTCTTATAACATCCAGACAACTTACCCATCTAATGACTTATCCTGTTTTCTACATGCTGTCTGCACTTACAGTCTGCACAAATTCATAACGGGGGAAATTTTGAAAGCAAAGTAATAAAATTTCTTCTTTTCTTAAATATGCTATGTTCCTTTCTCCTGAAGCTCTTTGCAGTGCATGTTGTGGCATCTTACTAAATGTTACCTCCCCTAGTTACTATCATCTGCACAGAGGAGCTGTCTCTGGGAACTCCTTCCAGTTCTGATACAAAAAAAAAAAAAAAAAAAAAAAAAAAAAAGGAAAAAAAAGGCCAGTGAAGACTACTGGCAGCAACAGTCTCTAGGAGATTCCTGTTCTCTGGGTCAGCTGCTCAGAGTCAATAACAATCACTCCTGGCACAACACTCCATTAAACAGTCACCAGTGAGGGAAGGAGTTCTGAGCGTCATACTAACGGGTAAGAACAGTCTCACCTGCCGATCTGCACGGTAGGCTCCGTGGCATACACCGTGCCTGTGAAGCCGGTATGCTCAGTGATATAGGGCAGTGCCATCATGCAGTGGTAGTTAGAAATGAGGATCACATCCACCGTAGACAGATCTATTAGCTCCGTCTGAAAAGAAAGGAGGGGGATGATACATATCTGTTCAGAGCACATAGATCAACATGATGTGACTGAAAAATGATGCTGTCAGAATGCAGAGTAGTTCTGTACTACAGAATAATGATGGCCTCCCTGCAACATTTCTATTCTCACTTTAGGATATTTCCTAACATTGACGTTAAGTAAGACAGGACGGCTAACAACGAGAATGCAGCCAGTCCACCAGGAGCACCCTGATTTTGCTAAACCAGAGTTCTGAGTCAGACAAGAGGATAAATAACAGCCCTTCAGCTGCTGCTCCTGGCAGGTGAAACCAGGTACCATGACGCAGAGAGCACAATATAAGCTGTGAGGGGAACTAGAATGCAACACACCACCGCTATGGGTTGAGGAACAGAGGGAGCAGCACATGGAAACCAGCTCAAGTCAAATGTGGGAACCAACTTTTATTTTATTTACTTACTTCAGTTTACTTTTTTCCTTTACTTCTTTACTCCTTACTTTTTAATTTACTCTACTTTACTTTACTTTAGTTTATATTTTTAAGGTAACTTTTGACCACTAGTGCTGGATATAGAGCCGAAAGGAAATTATACTCTCTTATTCTACCCTAGTCTTTTTAAAAAAAAATCTTTATTGATTTCGGAGAGAGAAAAGGAGAGGAAGAGAGAGAGATAGAAACATCAGTGATGAGACAGAGTCATTGATCGGCTGCCTCCTGCACGCCCCCTGCTGGGAATCGAGCCAGCAACCCAGGCATGTGCCCTGACAGGGAATTGAACCTCG